TGTGTGTGTGTGTCTCTGTGTGTGTCTGTGTGTGTCTGTGTGTGTGTGTCTGTGTGTGCATGTGTGTGTGTGTGTGTGTGTGTGTGTGTGTGTGTGTGTGTGTGTGTGTGTGTGTGTGTGTGTGATGTAGGTGTGTAAGTGCCGGGCTGAGGGGCCTCCTTTGGAGAGAGTAGGGGGTCTGAAGTGGCGTCCCTCCATTAACACAGACAGAGGTGTGTGTGAGAGATAACTGCCGGCTCTCACACTCCGACACCTCACACACGCAAGCACACACACACACAAATCACAGACCTACATGCAGCCTCCTGTCTGCGTTTTTTTTTTTCCAAACACACTCTCTTTACGTCCTCGAGCCCCTCAAATGCACAAACACACACTCAGTCAGACCATCACACACACTTCACTTCCACTCTCTCCACTCACATGCCACCATGTTGACGCACTCGCCACGAGATGGCTGGACGGCTGGATGGCAATGAAGGCATCATACACACATACATCATAATCAGTGTGTGTGTGTGTGTGTGTGTGTGTGTAAGATGCAGTGGCCTGGCTCAGAGTTGGTGTCAGTCCGAGTGGCATCAAGATGACTTGAGATGTGTGTGTGTGCGTGTGTTTTCGTACCGTAACATTTGTGATAACCAATGTTCACATCATGGTGCACCTTCTAATTCAATCAGCATTGATTTCTATTATTGCAATGTTTGTATCAGCAGCTCCTTTTAATTTTGTTACTGGATGTAACTTTAATAACTGTGCCAGTAAACATTGTAAATGATGTTATTATTGATTACTGTTACCGTAGTGTTTAGACAAGCAGCTTTCCTGCATCTTATGACCTCATTACACATCTGCATGACACATACTTATTTTAACCCCTAATGTCTGAATTATCACAAAAGACAAATAATTTAAGGATGCATGACTGATACATAACAGAATCCCTCCCCACGGGTATATGTATTTTGTAGTTATTATTTCATATTTTGGTTTGCCAGTTTTTGTCCAATGAGGCACCTGTTTGTGTAAGAATAGATTAGAATAGAATAGAACCGTAATGATCAGATGAGACGATATGTGACACATTCAAATTAGATGAGCATGATGCTTTGTTACAGTAAACTGAGCCGGTATGATCAGCCTCACAGTGGTCTGTCATTGGTTGACGGTATGATCAGTCACACAGTGGTCTGTCATTGGCTGACGGTATAACCGGTTGTTGATAATGTGACTAATGTTTGGATCAGCAGTTTGTTCTCAAGTTGTTTTCTTCTTCAGCTTTCTTACCGTAATGTTTGGACAAGAAGTGCACTGAGTTGAAATGTTTTTATTGCATTAAAATTGATTGTTGTTGCTTTATTGTTTGCATGAGATTATTGATTGTTTTTTTTTAATCTGAAGGTCTGTGCTTTTACCAAAGCTGTTACTGTATACGAGCAGCTCATAATACCTGATATTTTGACATTACATTTGCATCACCTTCAAAGCAGCTTGGCAGGCTGACGATGATTACTTTGCAACGACACCAGCTAGGAATGTGTTTTTTGGTTTCATAATATAAATCCTATTAGTTAGGATGTGATTTAAATGGCATGAAATTGACTGTTCCAGTCGAGTGCTTCAAAGGTCAAAGACTGAGAATTTGTGATGGCAGAATCTGATACAGCACTGCTTTTCTGCTGTGTTGCATCAAAATACACTAATGCTGGTTCTACTGGCTCTCAGAGGGAAACTGAAGAGTGGTGAATATATACTGACAGAGAAATTAAAACATATGCACATAATATATACATACAAATGTATTAATCGGGAGATGAACCATCTGGTTTTCGAGGGGGTCCTGGACATACGATACAGAAATATGAAAACATGAAACAAAGACATGAAAGTAACAGGAGAGAAAAAAAAATAGAACAAACACTACAACTAGGACAATCGACACACAAACATCAGAAAGACTTGTTAAATAGTATCTTCTTGAAATGATAATTAAATGAAGTTAGTAATAATATATTCAGGCTAGAATATAGGCAGGTTGAACGCACAGGAGAGAATACGCTTGAAGGGTGTTTAAATATAAAACATAATTAAAGGAAGAGAAATGATTTCTAATAATTATAAATACCTGCTGTACAACAACGGTTAGGCTTTTTAAAAGTGTATCGGTATCAATTACGGAAGTTTTCCTTCAATCATTTACTGAACTGAAAGAAGTCAGTTCAGTTAATTTATCATAACATCAATAAATTATTTCATTTGACACTACTTCATTCATTTTATTTCATTTAACTGTATTCAATGCAATTTTTTGGTGAATAAAACTTTATGATTATGAATCTGTAGTTATCCCCTGCGTGTCATTGGTCATAGTAAACTGTTCCCCCCTGATTTATTCTTTGACTTCATTTTGATGTAAAAGCAAAAACCTGATGTCAATGATTTCCTCCCACATGTTTCATTTAATCTCTTAATGTCACACAGCTGTTTAATGCGAGTCTTACGTAACTGAATATTTCATTTGTCTGTGTAATCAATGAATTACCATTCCCACCAAATGCTGTGGTGATAATAAATACATGCATAACTACCGGATGATTCAGAGTGAGCCGCTGCTTCAAACCTCCCCTGGTGTGTGTGGCAGCCCGGCGGGGGCGGTGCCAGCCGGGGCAGGTCAGCGCGGTGGGCTAAGGTTGTCGGTTAGAATCCCCAGATAGCGTCTGCACAGCGGCAACCTCTGTGAGTCAGCCTGGAGCTCGTCTGTGAGTCAGAGCTTTGTTCAACCAGAGGTTTGTTCATGCTGCGCTGTTTATGATTCTGTTAATGTCAAACTCTTCCTCGAGCACCACAACTCCTCCAGCTCACTCACAGGCTTCAGATTTATGATTTAACACTTAACAAAACATCGCTACAAGCTGAAAGTTAGCATCCACTGAAAAAGATTTTACTCTCAGGGACTTCCGGTGGAATAAAAGTCAAATGAAGATCAAATTCCTCCACTTGTTGTGCTCTTAACCCCATTCCATTTAGGAATCAAATACTTTTGTTACAATTTAGTGTTTACAGTGTCACATTTAGACCTAGCACAAAAAAAAAACCATGAAAACAATGACACAATAAGCAACATTAGCAATTAAATCAGTTCTATATGTGGGTTTTGATCAGTTATTTGAATTGTGGCTGCTCTGTATGGTCTCGGATGTGTTTGAGGAGAGAGTTCTAGAGGGAGGGGCCAGCGATGGTTAAGGCTCTGTCGTCCCAGGTGTGGTGCTTGGTCCTGAGTGATGGAGAGAGGAGGTTGTCTTCAGTGGAGCACAGATAGTTGGAAGGTGTGTGGGGGTGGAGCAGGTTCGTTGGGGACCTGAGAGTCAGGGGTGGTTCTGTAGGAGAGGGGTGATGTGGTCGTGGGAGTGTGTGAGGAAGCGAGCACGCAAGTTTTGCATGCACCGAAGTGTATTGAGGACTTTGGATGATGAACCATAAAGAAGGCTGCCGCAGAAGTCAATTCCGGATGTGACGAATGCATGGATTAGGGTTTCAGCTGCAGAGAAGGAGCGCAATAGACGGAGACGTGCTTTTTTTTCTGATGGAAGAGGGCAGTTCTGGTGATATAAACTCAGCATCTTAAATGTTAAGATAAACCTCCAGAATCCCAAAAAGAGCTCAAATGAAGAGTCAAAGCTTCTCAACTTCACACTTCTCAACCGTTTAAAAACAGTGAGAGGTTAACACTTAATTATGATGCCGTAAGATCACAGGTGGCAATAAAACTTTTTTATTCTAATAGAAGTACAGATTTTTAAAAAAAGGACTTTTGTAAATGTAAACCAAGGAGAACAGAAATGAACTTCTTTGTTAAAGTAAAAGTGAAAAAGTCCAGACTCTGAAAAGGACCGACACTCAGTCCTGGGAGATGATTGAACTAGAAGTTTTATAAGTATAGTGAGCAAATCCAAGAGTTTTGTTTGCAAATGAAGTCGTTTTGATTAGCACATTGCTGTAATGTTTTTATCAAACTAATATGTGTCCCTAGCCTGTCTAAAAAAAAAGTTATGTGAAAAGTCCATCCTTTACGTCTTTTGCCTGCTCCACTTTTCAGAAAATGTGTTCTCAAACAGGCTGTTTGGAGATGCTCTCTTCATGACATCACAAAGGGCGGTAACCCCTCCCCCAGGTGGGTGACTCTCGCACAGCTAGGTGTTTGTTCTGCCCTCTGAGTTTTTGGGAGCTCTGAGACTTATTTAAACTTGTTGAGGAGAATACAGTATGTGACCTTTAAACCTAAAACCCCTACACCTTCTGTGTATTCAGTCATCCACAGATTAAAGCTTGATTTCAAGCTGCTCAGGCCTTTGACCTCCTGTTTGATACATTCTATTTACATTGTGTGAGTCTGTTGTTGTGTGAGTCTGTGAGTCTGTTGTTGTGTGAGTCTGTGAGTCTGTTGTTGTGTGTTGTTGTGTGCAGTATCGGCTCCTCCTCTCCGCTGACCGTCTCAGAGCTGCTGTGCATCAGTGGATCAGATGTGACTGTGTGGGCAGCGATGGATGTGATAGGATATGAATGTAGAATATCAATTATGATGAATGCCATCCCTGCGCTACATGTTCCATCTCCACGGTGACACGTGTGGGCGGGTCCCGGTTGCACAGCGGTAACAAGCCTTTAGCCGTAAACACTGATGAGGAAACAGAGCGGGGTGTTTGTGTCAGAGAGGGAGGGGGAGACAGACATTTATGATTGAAATCTATCAGGTTTCAAAGTGTTCCTACACCCACTTTCTACTCAAACCTGTGGTGTTAGATTTCCCAATCACAGATTTTAGAGACACAGGAGTTACAGAAACATAACTCTTGAATACTTGATGAGGGTGTTGGTGTCTAAATGATCCTTCAAATGTTTTCTCAAAATCTGCTTTCCAATCCTTTTTACGAAACAAATATGCAGATGTTTCAACAGCTACAGAGAAACGCTGTAACAGCTGGTTTGTGTTTGTGTTGCAGAAAATGTCCGGACGGGTTCGACTGTCTGAAGGCAGGAAGGAACCCAAACTACGGCTACACCAGCTTCGACACCTTTGGGTGGGCCTTCCTGTCCCTATTTCGCCTCATGACACAAGACTACTGGGAAAACCTCTACCACCAGGTACATCTTTCCCAAATGTTTCAGAAGAGCGCTATTTAAGGTGGTTTTATTGACAGTTAAAAGAGTTTATCACATCTTATTTACTCAAGAGAAAAAAAAGTTTCACAATGAATCATAAATCAGGATTTATGTTCAATGGTCGTGTTTTTTTTGATTGAAATATTGAATATTATTCTAAATATCAGTTAAAACCAGGACTTAGATGGTCAATAAAGCCCTTTTTACTGCATTCAAATCTAATTTCTGTGAGAATATGTTAATAACTGAAGGTGAACAGTTTGTCACCTTCTCTTTTCTTGCTTTTCTGGATGCTGTCAGCTGGACAGTTGAAGACACCGTAAAAAAAGAGAAGTTTTAGCGAGTAGTAAAGAAAAGCATTTTGTGTGTCTGCAGACTCTGCGATCAGCCGGTAAGACCTACATGGTGTTTTTTGTGGTGGTGATTTTCCTGGGCTCCTTCTACCTGGTCAATCTGATCCTGGCCGTGGTCGCCATGGCATACGAGGAGCAAAACCAGGCGACCATCGCTGAGGCGTCCCAGAAAGAGCGAGAGTTTCAGGTGGCCATGGAGAGGCTGAAGAAGGAGCAGCAGGTAAATTAGTCAGGAGGCGTCTGATGTATATGTCTGAATAAATGTCCTACACACATTTGGGATCATTTACGTTTTCTGTATTGTTCACCAGGCTGCGGCTCAGAAAGCTCTGGACACCGACTCGATGATGTCACCAGATCTCTCTCCATTCGCATTGCCATTGGACATCATGGAGGAGAGGAGGCGGAGTCAAGCACTAATGGGAGTGGCTGATGTGGAGGGGAACCTATCGGAGGAGAAGTTGCTGCAGGTGGACATGACGGATGGGGGGAAGGTGAGACAAGACGAAACGTATTGTTTCTAAAATAAAGAATAAGCAAAATAACATTTTATAATGAACAACTAACATTTTCCCCGCACTTCTCCAGCCCCTCCACCCGCTCCTCGGCCGGTCCTTCTCCACCAGGACTCGGCGGAGCAGTCAGGTCTCCTCCATCTTCAACTTCCGCCTGAGGAGCCGAGGGTCAGAGGGGGAGATGGCAGATGACGAGTACAGCGTGCCGGGCGATGTGGTGGAGGGCGTCGGGGGTCGAACGTACAGCGGGGGGACCTTCAGCGGAATCCTGCCCCACCCGTGGCCCAAACGAAGACCAAGCACCTTCAGCACCGCCAGTCGAGGCTCCCAGGTAAACCAAAGAACTTTGATAAAATTGGATTTGAATTGTTGTGAGTAAATATTTTGTGATTAAATGAGAAAAAAAAACAGGGGAAAACAAAAGTACAAGGCAACAACAGGATAGGTGAAAGTGAGAACAATATGAGATATTTAGGACAGTTGAAAGCCATGGTTAGAGACAGTTATAGAAGGGAATTGCACTAGTTTTACATGTAGGCTAATCAGACAACACTTAAGACTAGTCAGAACATTTAAGTGGGGAAATGAAGGCAAACAACAACAAAAAATAAATTCTATAAGAATATACATAAAAGAATAAAGCAGATTTGTCCCTGGGTTCCTAACTTTTTTTTTATTTTTTCATCCCAGGTTTTTTATCCAACTTTAAACGTCAACGGGAAGCTCTTTGTTGCCATGGACCAGAACGGGGTTTCCTCATCACCGCTACAGGGGCAGCTGCCTGCCTGTACCATGGAGAAGGTCAAGGAGGAGAGTGTGAGTACCGTGTGTGTCTGTTAGTGTGTGTGTGTGTGTGTGTGTGTGTGTGTGTGTGTGTGTGTGTGTGTGTGTGTGTGTGTGTGTGTGTGTGTGTGTGTGTGTGTGTGAAGTGGAAACATTGGTGAAGTCTACAGCGATCTGACACTCAGACATGTGAATTATGAATCAGCGCTTTGCATAACTCCACTCTGATATCATGGGCTAAACACACACACACAGACACACACACACTCATATCAACCATATCAGATAACAGAAGCAGTGGTATTCCCCATATCTGCATGAGCACACGCACACATATACCGTAATACACATAGTGTCAGTGCAATGGCATCGCGGGCTAAGCCTCACATGCCACCACAACCACGTTACTTAGGTGTCCTTCCTAAACACACACACACACACACACACACACACACACACACACACATTGTGCATTATGTCCTTTTAGAAACAAGCAGCAGATATGATAATCAGATCACACTCACACTGCATGACTCAGTGGCCAAACACACAAAGGTACAGAGAAACCCTCAGTGTGTGTTTGTGAATGTCTGGGGGTTCACATGTTCACACACTCTCATTGGAAGCTTCTAGTATCGTGGCTGACAAGGACAACCGACCGGCAACTTAGGAGAAACATGCTGCAAATTCAGAAACGATTCAAATTAATTCAAGTAAATGCAAAAACACAAAACATCTGCGTTTAGAGAAAGACTGCAAATCCAGGGGCTCTCTGTGGAACACTGTAGAACTGATGCGAGTGAGTGATGGAGACGAAGAGGTGAAGTTATCATGCGGATGGTGAAGTAGCTCTGACAGATCATCAGGGATACTGCGTCTTTACAGTACCTAAAAGTTTAAGCAGCAAGAGGGGGATGAGGTCATCAATAAGTCACTAGATAAAGACACCATTACCTTGAATAAAGCCAAATTTCTCTGGATTTTAATCTCAACAGAACTCTTAAAATTGGGTACATACCTTAGTATATGATAGTGTTTATGCATTTTGAATTGATACCGAAACATGTTTGCTTTTATCCTTTTCGCCCATGTTCTGGACCAACCTGACAGAGCATTACAGTGTGCCATTATTTCAGAGCAACACAGTTTTGTCCTCTAATCAGATCACTGCTATAATTATTGATCAGTATCCCATTAAGCGCTGGAAAAAAGGCCAAAAGTGGAACAACAGAATGGATTTAAACTGAGCGGCTGTCTGCCTGCTATGATATTTAGATTTTTCTGTGATATCAAAATAATACATACTGAAAAGTGACACTGAGAATATTCGGGGTGAATCGATCCCATTTTAAAAACGGGACATGACTTTAGATTTGAAGCTTTCAGACACACGGAGCTGCAGTTTTTAGATGTTAGTTTTTGTATTTTCTTCACACTTGAAGGAGAAGTTTATGAAAACCTGCAGCTGAGAGGCAGACAGTTACATGTCATGAGGGATTTCTTTTATTTTTATACTTGTTTGCAGTCGTCCTTTTTTTCCCAGAAGGCACCAGGTTAGAGTATCATGAGGACAAACACGGCAGCTCCACGCCTGGAGGTGTTCAGGCACCTCCACCTGCTGACTGCCTGGCCTGATAGCTAAAGGCTTATATAAGAAAAGAAGAAGAAGAAGAAGAAGAAGAAGAAAGGGAAGGAGATGTAGTTAAATAGTAGAGGAAGATGATTCAAAAAGAGATGAAGAACAAGTTTAGTAGAGAACCAATATGGAAGGATTTATATATTTAAAGTTAAAAGTTGTTTTTCTTTTTGTAGTGTAATCTTAACAGCAGTCAGGGTGAAGACATTTTTATTCTGTTTTTTTTTTTTTTATGTGCCTACATGATCTAATCACCAGTGTGTTATGTCTTCACTGTGAATGTAGCTGCTGTAACAATGGTATTTTTCTGCAAAGTGTTGATAAAGTATCTATATATTTAGTGCAAAATAAATAATGTACTCCTAGGATTTCCCTCAAGAACAAAGTCCAAACTTCCTGGATGCTGGTTAGTATCATAAACCAGAAACCTGTATTATTTGTCCAGTTTTTCAATTGAAAAAACCCCACAAACACAAACATAAGGGTTCAGTGACAGCTAGCAGCTCTGACCTGTCACTCAAAGAGGCCACGCCCCTCATTCTTCATCACTTTCAGCCTTAATTAAATGTCAACAGGTGAGTGGTATAAAAATCCAGCCTGCCAGAACAGTTGTCATGAAAATCGAAATTAGCTTTAGAGACCAACATTGTTTATTCCTGCTGTAAAGTTGGACATGTTAACATGGGGCTCTAAGGGGATTGACTCACTGCAGGAGACAGCCTCTAGTGGACACTCAAGGGACTGCAGTCTTTAGCACTTTATACTTGGCTTCTTTTCCAACACATGAGATCCCTGCTTGGAAATTTAACATATTTTTCCCCCATTTGAAGAACTATTGAAACCCCCCCCAAAAAAACACGTTATATCTCTAGATGTAAATTAATTCAAAGTGCTGCTCAGTTTTAAAAAATAACCTCTTTCTAAAAAATAAATCTGCGCCCTCGTGTCCGTGGAAAGCTCGAACCTGACCTTTTGCTGCTCGCTCTGATGGCGAGACGAGTGGGAGAAAGGGGAAGAGGGGCCACATGCTTAGTTTCCACGGAAATGTTCCCATGACAACCCACAGCCGCTAAAGGAAGCTAAATTAGTGCACGGCTGCCTGCTGTTTGTGTGTGTGAGTGTGTGTGTTTCCCTGGTGCTTCCCTGCCTGGCACACAGACAGGATGTAGGCGTCGTCGTGGGCGGCGACCTTCAGGCCCGTGCGTCACATCTCATTGGAGGAACAGTTACCAGGAAGTGTTGTGTAATCACACCTGAGCAAATGATGGTTCATGCAGGTTTGTCTCTGTGAGAGCCGAGGGGTCTAAACTCCCCTGAGGAGGAGATGTCGAACTGTTGAGAACTGTGTCAAACTTTCTTTGTCTGTTGCCTTCTTATATGTGAACATGCATAGTTTTCTTCTATCTGCTCTGTGAGACACTTTGGATCTACAGTGTTGTGTGTAAAGTGCTTTATAAATAAAGTTGAGTTGTTATAAATTTGAATCAAAGTCATTTGCCCTTCAGGTTGGCCTTCCCCTTAATATATGCCACATTAACTGATAAACACATTCACTCACTAACTATAAAATACCAATAATACGATGTATTGTGGGTGATATTAGCAAAAAAAGGCCATAAAGCATGAGAAGTGACTTCATTATTGTCCTTTGGGCTAAGCCACACATACCAGCACAGCCACATTACTGAGGTGTCCTTCCTAAACACACACACACATAAAGAGCCAACACTGCTGCAGGTTTTAGACTAGTTCCTTCAGAATCTGCACATAACACACGTCCTTCCCAGAGGCTGCCGTTCTTTGCTTACGTCAGACAGCTCAGGCCTCCACGTTGTCGATTAATTCCTGATGATGGACACCTCGTCGGTCATTATCCTTTACATAATATGAAGACAGGATAAATGTTGGTGTTGGCGGAGCCTCTCTTCACTTTGTTTTTAAAGTTGTGATTTTTAGTGGGGGTTTTTTTAATTCATTTTTGGGAGTAATAACTGTGTAAGAAGCTGAATTGAATTCCTCCTCTCTGTGTCTCAGGTCCCCACGTCGACTACGGAGCTCAGCACGATGCTGCTTCCTCGTCCTTCGTCCACACAGGAGTCAGTACGGAGGGGGAGAGCGCTCAGTGCCGCCAGCTACCTCACCGACGCCATGGAGGGTGAGGAACGACACCAGCGCATTAGAAAGTTTTAAACAATAAAAATGAAAAAATAGCCATCTCATTTGTCGGGCAGGACTACAGCTACCTGTCTGTATAAGAACTGGATGTAGCCAAATGACTGAAACCCTAGTGTCTGATTGTAGAGAAGCTAAAAGGTCCTACTTCTCAGTTAACATTTTTTTAATGAGTTTATGGTCTCGATCTCTATTTTCAAGGCTTCTTCAAAACAGCATGATGTTCCTTTTAGAGTCTGTTTAGAGTTAAAGAGGGGAGGATTTAGGGCGGGGACCTTTGATTGACAAGCTGCTTCGACGGCATCATTAAAAATGTCTCATTACACGGCTCTGTAAAATACTTCACTCTGATTGGCCAATTATGCATACAGTTAGCGCTGATATTCCTGCAAAGATCATCGTTGTTAAAAAATAATTCACTGTTACTAAGGAAAGCAGGCGGTTGCTAGGGAATAATCACAGACTCTGGAGGACTAGATGTAATCATAAAGAAGGCTTTGTAAAGTTAACAGCACAGCCTTAGTAAAATAATAGTCAGTTTATGTTTTTAACCCATGATTTGGTATTTTCGCCTTCAATTGGGAAAGCCTCTGGATTTTTGTAATTTATCTCATATCTGTTGGTGTTTTTGTCTTACTCTTTACCTCAGTTTGTTTGTTTTTGTTTGTGTTGGGAGGCTGTGTGTTTGATTGTGTAACTGCGTATTTTTCTGAATTTTTCTGGATCTGTGTGCCGGAACAGAATTGTGCTACCATGTCTGAGTTTAGTATGAAAGTGTGTGTTTGTGTGTGTCGCTGGCCCAGCCAACCCCGGGGGATCGCTGGCTTTGTTTGTGCCAGAGAGACAGAGAGAGGGAGGGAGAGTTATCCTGGTTACCCTCATTAACCATGAGATCATTGAATCTTTCAGTGTGTGTGTGTGTGTGTTTGTGTTGATGATATTCATGTGTCAGATTTGTTATCTTGTGTGTGTGCGTGTGTGGTAGGTCTGCTGAGTCACTGTCTCTCCCTACGGCTTTCGCTGCTCTTACAGAACAGATCATTATACGGCAAAATACAAAAAACCCCTCTGCTGCCCTCTCTCCATCTGTACACCCCTCACTCTCTCTGTCTTTCTCTCTGCCCTAGTTTTTACATATTCTTGCGTCTAAATGTCTAAAAGGTACAGAAAGTTCGGAATTGCTCCAGTAAATTGCTTCAGCCTGCAGCCACATACCAGGTTGTGGCTGCAACATAATCCTCGATATTATATCCACCAAAGCAAAAGCACGCCCACTAAAAGGTGTTGTTTTTGTCCATAACATGCTCAGATTGTTATTCTTAGTGCCTGACAACATCAATGAATTATTCCTACAGATCTATACCTATTTGTTCGTCACTGTCTTCAAATCAACCAGACTCCATTGACAAAAACAGTCATTTTAAATGGCAGGAAAACCCAGTTGTTTCGTCTACCGTTTTCTCAATTGCTCTCATTTTGTGCAACACAAATGCTGTCTTGGACTGTAACTCGTCATTTTAACAATTAAAGTCATAAATAAAAACGGGGTAACCTTGTGAGATGAGGTATAACAGCAACCTCATGTTCTGAAAAGGTAAAATTACAGTTTTTCTCAATGCAGTTAAGACAATGTTGTAACAGCTGTTTCTGGATACAAAAAATGTCAATCTCTGTCGGGATCATTTATGTAATGTTGTCAGAAACAATGTCAAGAAACGACATGTACATTCTTCAACAGATTACTTGGGGAAGAGTGTTGACATCGATGTTTTTCTTTTCAAAAATGTCTGACCATCACCTAAATGATACTGATAACTGTGCAAGCTTGTTAGTTATCCTGACAGCTTATACTTAAGCTTGAGGAGAGAGCAGCTGTCTGCCAATACCAAAAACTAAAAAACAGTCACGGCCGCACTTTTAGCAAGAAAACACATCTGCTAATGGTATTTGATTTTAAACAACACTTAGTCTCATTATTACTAGTTTCTATGTTGTTTTGAATTGCTTCTGAAACGTCCATGCTTTGTTTTTTAGGCTTGTTAACATGAGCACTAGCTTCCTCCAGCATGCTGCAGCTGACTGATATCCAGTGTTTTTTTTGTTTTTTTTTGGCAGATTGGCATTTGTTGCAAAATCTTCAAAGTAAATTGTGTTGCAGAATAAGTTGTGATGTTTCATGATATTCTGTTTTACTTCCAGCTCAGAAAAGCTGTGTGAGGTGACCTTCAGAGATTGCTCTGTTATTCATTTCAGTGGTACTCAAACGAGCGTCTTTCTTTACTTCATAAACACAGCACCGGTGGAAGGGTCAGTTTGATTTATTGTTCTGGGGTGTCTGATGCCAAGTGTTTCTAATTTCTTCCTACTCAGTACAGGTATTTTTTTCCAAGGATGCATGGAGATGAACTCCCAGAAATTAGTTTTTATTGTTATTTAATTTCAAGTCTTGCGTGAGAGAATTTCAGTTAACATCAGATTCATTTATCTCATCGTAAATAAACAATCAAGCCTTTTGCAAATTTTAATTTCCCTAATTTCCTTTCTCTTCGTTAATTAATGTTTTATTTATTTACACCTACTCTTCCTCAACAACCTCCCTTTCATTTTTTCTATTCTGAACTCCCCTCTCCTCTCTTGTTTTTTTATCTCATTTCGTGCAGAGCTGGAAGAGGCCCACAAGAAGTGTCACCCGTGCTGGTACGTCTTCGCCCACCGCTACCTTGTGTGGGAGTGCTCCCCCAACTGGCTGAAGCTGAAGCAGCTGGTTAAGATCATGGTGATGGACCCCTTCCTGGACCTCGCCATCACCATCTGCATCGTCCTCAACACACTCTTCATGGCCATGGAGCACTACCCGATGACCGACGAGTTCAACGGCATGCTGAGCATCGGAAACCTGGTAGGAACCACTGATGGATGGATGGTTGGATAATTGGGTGGATGGATGAATCAATTATTAAACAAAAGAAAGATTGAATTAATGAAGAAATGAATGAATGAATGAATGGGTGGATAACTTCCATTCAAACTTCAGAGTTCAGGAGGCAGTTAAAGTGATGGAGAAGGGAGTGCGTTGGAAACAACCTTTGCACTTTGGGAATGTCCTCAACCTCTTTTGGACACGTTCAGAACTCTCAGGATTCATGTAGGAAATACAGCTGCAGATATAATTATTTTCTGTAAAAAGCTGTGTGTGTGTGTGTGTGTGTGTGTGTGTGTGTGTGTGTGTGTGTGTGTGTGTGTGTGTGTGTGTGTGTGTGTGTAAAAGCTGTGGGAGGATCGGAGCTGACAGAAACGGGTCGGGTGGCTGTAAACCAGCATGACTAACTCTCCCGTGTTTGACCCCGCAGGTGTGCTGACGATCTGACAGAAACTGATAGGTTTATGCAATATGGTAATTGGTTCACCTGAGGTGTGAAACGCTGATGTTGTTGATCACACCTGCACACACACACACACACACTCACACACACACACTCACACACACACACACACACACACACACACACACACACACACACACACACACACGAACACACTCTCTTGTACCTGTCCGGTGATGTCAGGTTTCCTTAGATCAGACTGCAGGCAGCTGTGCCCGGCGGAAAATGGTAATAAAGTTTATAAGTAGAAACAGAGACTAGGCCAGCCTGCGGTGGTGTTCAAGCTGTGGGACGGGACCCAATAGTGGGCCAATCTGGGAGTGGTACCTTTATCAAGACTGGGTATTTGTGTCATTTTATAATTAGGGCCACAAAATGTTAAATTTTTTAAATTGTGATTCATGTCATTTTTAAACATGTTTGACTTTCATTTCTTGTATACAAAGTTTTTTATGCTTTTATTGTGAGTTTGGCACTGTCTTAAGCCACAGATATTTTACTTCCTCTTTGGATACAAACCTGCTTTTATGAAGGAAAAAAATATGAATTTGTGGTAGGGTTACAACTTTACGGAGTAAATGAAAAGAGAAAGTAAAAAAAGTGAAATGTTTAATGTCAGAAACTGGATAATTTTGACACAACTAAGTTGTGTGAAGGTTTTTTTTTTTTTAAGTGAATTGAGACAATTAAAGGCGCAGTGCTGTTGTTCATTTCCATCACTGTGACTACATGGAGAGGCTGCTGTCAGCGAAGTGTCTGTGCTACGATGCACATAAAGGGACAAAACAGCACGCAATACATGCGATTATAAAAAATGAATGCATTTATTTATGACATTAATCGCGTCGTGATTAACGTATTAATCCTGACAACCATAATTAGAATTTCTTGAAATCCACAAGATCTGATTTTGAATTTCAGATTTTTAGACATCAGATTTGAGCCTCAAATATTTCTAAAAAAGCAAAACATGACATTAATTCACCCTTTTTTTTCAC